GCGAGCGCCGGCAGCTGCGATTTGGGGTGGGCGTGCGTGCTGCTGCTGGAGTCTCTGATTCCGGTGATGGTGGACCCGGTGCTGGGTAAGGAGAGGATGCTGGTGACCCCAAGCATCAAGGGGAAGGCGGAGGAGATAGCCGAGGCGTGGAAGAGGAGCTTGGAAGAGAAGGGTGGAATTGAGAATGTGAAGACGCCCGATGTGCACACTTTTCTGCAGCATTTAGTGACCTTTGGGATTGTGAAGAAGGAGGATATGGAGTTGTACATGAAGCTCGTCGTGGCATCTGCCTGGAGAAAACAGATGCCCAAACTGGCCGTCTCTCTTGGCCTTGGGGATAAGATGCCCGGTAGAGTATCTCTCTTCCTAACATACGCACATCCTAATTTTAGTAATGTTATTGTGGGTTATTTCTAGGTTTGAATATATAAGTGCTTAATTGCTTACAGTTGAAATTGGATATCTATAATTAGAAAGTGCTTGAAGTGTGATTGTTAATTTCATTGTTCTTGGTGAGTAAAGGAAGGAAACATATGAATTGAAATGCATGGGTGATTTCGTGGAGCTTATGTTTAGAATTATGCTAAGAAGATAGTTTGTTAAGAAGATAGTTGAAATGAAGGCTGGATGCTGGCTGGTTTTTTTGGGGTATCAGCAGCATTCAGATACAGTCGTTTCTGTAAATTTTATTTGGAAATTGGTCAAAGATGAGATTGTTTTTTTGAGAGATTTCTGAGTGTGAGGGAACAATGCAAGAAAAATAATTTTTGTGACCTATTACTAACAAACCTCTTCCCTAGAATCCCTACGATCTTCATTCATGTGGACTGAAGTGTGATTCTTCATTCATGTAGAAACTGTTTTGTTGTATCTTGATAAGTCTATTAAAGTGAGACCTCTAGGATCTATAGCCTATGACACTGAGTTGAGAGTTTGGATTTTTTCTGTTCCAGAACTGTGCGGAATCACTCAGATCAGACATAAGCACTTTCCATGGTTGCTTGTAGTAGATATGTGGTATTTTGAGATTCTAGACTAGAGCGAATGTGATGATTCCAAGAAACTAATTATAACCCATGAACCTTTTCAGTAGGGTCATGTTAATGTTGAGGTTAAGATGTGTGTTTCATAATCATTTCACCAGTCATTGTGCAACTCTCTGTAGTAAAGTGAACTGTTGAGCTTCCTATTCTTTCAGTAGAAGTTGTAGGTTGAGAAGGCAATCGAAATGTAAAAACTTGAGATCATTTTTTATATCTGAGCCACTGAATATAGACCATCCATTTTTTTTTTCAGAGTTTAAACTTGAGGGGAAATTAAATATGAACACCCGCACGAATTGGTGGTATTTGAATGCATGATTGTTGCAGTGGTGTCTCATTACTTTTGCCTCCTTTTTGCAGATATGATTGAGGAGTTAATTGGAAGAGGGCAACAGGTTGATGCTGTTCATTTTACATTCGAAGTTGGCCTTGCCGACAAATTCCCTCCTGTTCCCCTTCTGAAGGCTTTTCTAAAAGATGCGAAGAAAGCGGCTACATCCATTTTGGAGGATCCCAACAATTCGAGCCGTGCTGCGGTGAGCTTTGGTTCCTATATTCCTAATATTAGATTATTTATTTTTCAGATTGTATATCACCATATCTAATTTCATTCAACATAATTCTTTTTGGCAAAGCAATATTTATCTGGGCAACATTTAATGTTGATGGGCTACACTTGTTCTCATTTAGCTCTTCACTACTGGTCCCTGATTTTGATTGGTCACTGGGCTAAATTGTCCTGTTCCTCTTTCTCTTTTGTTAAAGGAGTGTTTGCCAACAGACCCACACATGCACTAGAAAATAATATAGATTGTTTGCTTGTGGTAGATAAAAACTAGATTTCTGTTTTTTCCAGAGTTTCCAAGTGGCAACTTTGTGATTCTGACTNCTCTACCACCCAAACAAGTTTTTCTCGTATGCTTCTTGGTCGTGATACTTGCAAATCAATACACAATGGCCTCTTTTACTTGGGATAACATTCCTTAATCAACTTTATCCGGTGTTTACTAGCAAGGATCAATATTGGGATAAATCCTATGTGTCATGTACGTGGCAGGTGGCCACATGCATGTAGCATGACTGACAGAATAATTTTATCACAGAGGGTGGGATATTTTTATACCAACACAAAAATGACCTTTTTGTCCCAAAAAATCACTTGTATAATGTCCATTATACCCTTGAATGTCCAAATAATTACAAATTTAGTAAACTCATGGGACAAAAGCTGACTCGTGGGATCAAACCATCATATCCCATCCCTTCAATTAAACGAGGCCAATAGAGTTGTGAATGCTCGTCTAATAAGTTATTTACCCCTTTAATCACCTTTTTTTTCTCTCTCTCTCTCTCTCTCTCACAGCATATGGCCGCCAAGAAGGAGCAATCTGCCATTCGGGCAGTTCTCAAGTGCATCGAGGAATACAAGCTCGAGTCCGAGTTCCCACCTGAGACCCTCAAGAAGCATCTCGAGCAGCTCGAGAAGGCCAAGATTAAGAAAAGGCCATCCAGCCCAGCCGCAAAACGTACTCGGGCCAGCAATGTGGGCCCAATGCCTCCGGCTAAGGCGGGCCGCTCGACCAATGCTTATGTCTCGTCTTTCCCGTCTCCCCCAACGTACATCAGGTCCCCTTCTCACACCCAATACCCTTCCCCTATCCCGGCTTATCCTGCTGTGCCAGCTGTCTATAACAGGAGCCCACCGTACGCTTACTCACCGGAGGCTCCTGCACCTGCAATCGTTGGATCGTACCCTGTTTCTCCCGTGAACTTCCCGGCTTATGGGATGGCGCCTGCTTATCAGCAAGCTTACTACTGATCGACGTGAATGTGGGGGGCCCACTTGGCGGGAGAATGGTGACTAATGATAATCGTGACGACGAAAAATCCAAAAAAATGGAAAAAAAAAAAAAAAAATGAAAAAAATGTCTGTTTTAATGGGTCTGTAATCCACTAACCTTTAATGGTAGCTTTTGTTTATTTATGTGTGTTTAATTTTCTGACCTTGACAAGGGCAGGGCATGCTGTATTTTTTTTCTGATTGTTGGTGAAACTTGTAGTTGTACTAGGTGGTGTGAAAAAGTAACTTGAAAAAGAAGGAAAGAAGAGTAACGTGGACTCCTTTGGACTAAAACTAGTAATCAACGTGTAGAATTGTTTCTGTGCATAACTAACTAATGATCCACGCATGCAGGTCGTTATTTCTGATCATAATATAAATTGATTAGACTAGGTGAAAAGATGCATGTACTTTATTAACCTGATTAGACAAATTAGACAAATATGCTTCTAACTGTGTAATTTTTTATTTTTTGTCCCAAGAATCGTTTTTCTTTTTGGCAGTGGAGTAACTTAGATGATGCTTGGATATAAATTTATCTAAAAATATTCAATTATTTTTAATTAATTATTCACTAGTATAATACCCGTTTCTACACGGATAATTGATAAAAATATTGTTTGATCAATAAATATGTAGAATTACAAATTTATATAATAAGTCGAAAAAATAAAAATGTTGAACAAAATAACAAACTACTAGCAAAGTTTAAATATTATATTAAATTTCAAAAAACTTCTTTATATAACGTAAGAGAATAAAGACCGAGAGGTTGATAGGACATTACGAGAGAATGAAAATTCTAGGAACTTATGGGAGTTAGTTGTTCATCTTGAGATCGAGATAAGATAGATAACAATGAGGAAAAGGTTAAATTAATTTAGCGATTATCTCTAGATTGGTAAAATTAAATAAAATTTGTATGAATATAAACGTTTCATCAATTAATTCCGAAGAACACTTAGCCTAGAATCTACTTTTTATATCTTCTTTTACTTTTATTTTTTTTTAAATAAATTAGTTCTTAATTTTTTAGTTGATAATCATCATCTGAATTAGTTTATAATTTTTTAGTTCTTATCGATTATCTCTACGATTATCAATTATGTTGTTTAAACCACAATTATGAGAACCGTTCGGTCGGACTGGTTAGTTAGAGCGATAACCGGTCCCCTTACCGGTCCGACTATCTTTAAAAAGTCGGTTGCGAAAGAACCGGTCTTTGACCAGTGGAACAGGCAAAAAATAGGCTGGTTAAGCTGGTTCTTGCTTCTTCTTTTTTGTAGGTTCGTTTGGCATGTAAAACGTGGCATGTAAACATTCAAACATTCAAAAATATTTTGACATTAATCCAACAATCCCCTCTTTTGAGGTTGTTTCTTGACGAAAAGTCGCATATATGCAGGTCAAGATAATTTACGGGTTGTGAGATTGTGATATGAGTGACGACGATGGCAAACTCGAGACTAAAAGTGTGGATGGCTCAGCAGAAATAAGAAGATTGAGAAAAATATATAAGTGAACAATTTTAACCCTGGACAAAACCGAGCCGTTCACTTTGTGGTTTTTGCAATTGCAATCCATATCAAAGCCGAGCAACAAATCGGACCCAATTTGTTCAGCTCTGTTTCACTTTCACCCCACTGGAATCCAAATATTTGAAATTTAGCCACATATGAAATCAACTATGGTCCTTACTCTACACCTCAATTAGCTGAATCCCCTTGCTCATTTCAAGAACGAGACATTAAAATATGCAGCCAAAATCGTTCATGAAGATTTAAAAGTTTATGATACTATGCGCCATCAAGATTTTTGCAATTCAAACTTCGAATACTATCCGCCATCGATTTTTTTGCAAATCAAACTTTGAAAGCCAGGCATTATAGATATTATACCAAATAAAAATAACACAACAGGAACAAATTATCTCAACATTGAAACACAACACCAAAAGAACTTTTACCAACCAATTCAAGGTCCACAAACTTCAACTCAAACTTCTCAAAAACTGCATCAACTATCTCATTTCCCCCAATTTATAATTTCACCAAAAAAAAAAAAAAATCTTACAGATCATCCTCCATTCTTAAATACTCCCCGATATCTGCATGACGATGAACCACAATCCCATTAGGATCCATTTTCCGGCAATCGACAGTGCTCTTGGCGGCATCCCCAAACCCGAGCGGCACATCCGCCATGGAAAAGACAACAACACCGTCATTCACCTGAATGCTCTCTGTAATCCTACCCACGCCGCCTTTCAACACGCTGTTCCCGTACAAGAAGCTCATCTCAGACGTCGGCTTCAGCCACACCTTGTGTTTGGCGTTCGCGGCCAGGAGATTGAGGCTCTGGATCGTGAGGTGGAATTTCCCGGCTTTCGTGAACTTGCCGATTTGGGTTCCGAGCGAAATCAGCTTCTCACGCTTGATGTTGGTGGCGCGCTTGACCAGGGATTCGGAAACGTAATACACGCGGTTCTTCTGAAGACGAAAGCAATAACGGCCCGGATTCGAGTCGGGCCCTTCGTGGGATTGTGAATCTAAGACGATGTTCTTGAGATTGTTGCCGACGAATTTGTGGAGCTTGTTGAAGACGAGGGTGGTTTCGTTCTCGTCAAGAGGTCTCATGGCGGGATTTTGGAGATTGGGGATTTTCAGAGCTAGGGTTTTAGAAAGGGGAGTTGAGTTGTGAAAAAATGGCGGCTACTCGATCAGGAGTTGCCTTACTTTGGACCAAGAGGTTTAGGGCGTGGTTGGATAAAAATATATGATCTTAAAACGTTTTTTATAATTAGAGTTAATTTAAAAAAAATATATATAATTAGTTGGTAGTTGGATTTTGAGTTTATATTATAATAATTAAAGTATTTCTTTATAAAAGTATAGAATGATGATGAGTGATGTTTAGTTAAAATTATGTGAATAAATGAATAGTGATTTAAAGTTAATGTAATATTAATGATTGACTATATTATTTTTTTCTTATTATATTGATAATATTGAGAATTGTAAGGGAAAATTGAGTTAAATTTTATTTTAAAAATAATTGGTTAAAAATGATGATAAAAAAAAAAAATTGATATCCAAGCATGTACTAAACGTCCCTTTAAAAATTTATACAATTACCAACTAAGCAAATATGTTTTTGACTTTTTATTCTTAAAATCTTCATTATATATAATTTCAGAATGACCTTACATGCCAAAACATTATGTTTTATAAAATGGTTTGGATAAAAATTACTAATATTATATACTAAATAACTTAAGTTTGGATTACTATATATATATATATTTACATATTTAATATATTTAAATCATTCCATATGTTATAAATCTATTTATTATGTTCGTTGTATAATGTGCATATAATCTTTCTAAATTTTATGCGTTGTTCATATTATTCTCTTATGAGTTTTAAATACAAATATTATAAATAAAATTAATAATTTATATAAATTAGTTCTTAAAATTTAAAATAATATTGTTAATTCACTTAGTTATTAATTATAAATTATTTTTTAATTATTTTTTTGCAACTTATGTTTTGTAAATTATAAAAGTGGTTGGTTCTTATAATTTATTTTTTTTTACTATCCTCCATATAACAGCAATTAAATAAATTAGAAAAGGGGTTCTCCTTTTGGGAGCGTGTTATTCTTCTGTTGGGAGTTGTTTAGTTGGTTCTGATATGGGTGTGTTAGTGTAGTTGTTTTTAGGCTACCTCCGTGTAGGTGTAGGCCTCCTAGATTCAGCTGGTTGGCTGCTTGGCTATTCTAGCTGTTGTCTAGCTGTAATTACGTTGTTTTGCGTTTTTATATAATATCTATCGTTTCGAAAAAAAAAAAAGANAAAAGGCTCTGCGACCTCACCGCCGAGCTTGTAGCCGACGCACCGCCGGGAGCCAGCCCTCTCGACGTCGCTGCTGCACTTCTCACAACACATTCTGGTAATAACCATTGCTTCTCCCTTCTATTTTTGTCCCCCTCTTCGTAGAAACACGAACCCCATTCCTGCATTTATTATTATTATTATTATTATTATTTATTTCTTTTTTCTCTTTTTGAGTTATGAAGTAGCTGTGATGTCCATTACCTCTGAACGAAAGCCAATTGTAGATTGTAAATTAAAACTTTTCTGCTTTTGATTTGTACGGAAGTATCCATTTAACAGCTTGTAAATGTAATTGCTACATAGCTAGTAGTGTTGAAACTATTTGACAGCATGTAGTCCATATACTTGGTTGTGTTTTCTGTTTGGTGATTATTTATTTGCCTATTCGGTGCGTTCATTATGTTCGTTAAAGTTACCGTCGATATTTGAATATCAGTGTAAAATTTGTTGGGTATGGATGATAAGTAAGAATGGTTGCCATAAAGTTGGAGATCTTTGTTATGAATTGCTAAGGATTCTGAATTTCTGTGTCTCTCTGGAAAAGCTAACTATGTAAGATAGTTGAATTTTGTTTTAATTGTGAGCTTGGCACAGAGGAACACTTAATGGTACCTCCCAAGCAACCGAAGAAACTAATATTGGTATTCATTGTTTTCCCCCCGCTAATTTCTTGGTTGTTTCACTTAAGATTTTTAGTTTGGGTCGAAGTTAAGTTAATTTTAGTGTAAATTGTTCAAAGTACCTTAACAGTTAAATGTGCGTGTGTGATGTTCATTGAGTTAGGTTCAGATTTTCCGTCTATTCTCGTTAGATGCAAGTTCATCTATTGACTGACTTATGAAATTGCTATAGTTCTTGCTTATTTGTGCATCGGTTGAATCTTTGCTCTTATATTTTCGTTTTCCTGGAAATTATACAGTTACGGTGGTTCTATCATCTATGCGGGATACTAATTCCCATTTCATGGTGGTTTATTTCCAAAACGCAACCATAATATTTTGCTGAACAAACTTTCCTCAAATCTGGAAATTTGGTTTTGTAATTGCCGACAATATTGACCTTGAAATGCTCATTATAACATTGGACTTGCATCTTTTCCAACCATGTATTTAAAATTTTGAAAGAAAAATATGTACTTACTCGAAATTCACCTTTTTGTGCACTTCCTAATCACACTGATTGCAAGTGTACTCTGTCAATTTATTATTTTTCGTTGTTTTTTTTTTTTTCCNACTGTTTCTTGGAATTGGCTCGTTATAAAAGTTGGGTCTTAGACTCTTAGGTGTTGTTTATGCTAGCATTTGTTCAAATGAAGCATAAAAAATTTTTTTGCCTTGCTTCTAAAGCTTTGATCAACTTCCATTTTCATCAGCAGGACAAATATTCGCAAATGGTTTGTCAAGATAATGCAACTCGTTTATATCAAGCATATATTTGACTACTTGTGTACTTAAAATGTTATTATGATGTGCTACCGTATGATTGGGGGCGTACTTGTCGAGCGAACAATTCAAGAAGTTTTGCCAGCTGTCCATCGGAATAAAGAGGGCCTGGATGAGGTGATTGTTCGGCTTACCGAGTCCTTGGAGAAGAAGAAAAAGGAAGTATCGGAATTCGAGGCCAAGTACAAAATCAGAATCCAAAAGGGTGATGGTGGTGAGATGAACGAGGAGAGTGGTGGTAAGAAGGAAGGGAATGCACAGGGAGTTCTTGTTGGTGGTGCTAATTAAGAGTTGAGAAAGATTTGTTTTCTCTTTCATATTTTCCTCTTTTGTATTATCTGTTTATTATTTGTGGTGATATATTGGTTCCTAGAATGGCTTAAGCTCTTGTGCTCGTGGAGAAACCTTGTTCTATTTCTTTTTTTCCTCTTTGTTTATGGAAATTTTTCAAAAAAATTTCACATTTTAACTCGACCACTTTTTTTAACTAACTTTAACTCAACCCCACTATCATCAATATTATTAATATAATTAAATAATATCAGTCAATCATTAATACACACTACATCAATATTAATTCACTATTCATCCACTCACATTATTTTAACTAACCATCACTTCAATCATCTCTCTCCTACTTTTACATCAAATCAATTTTAATAATTTTATTTTAAATATTATTTTAATATACCCACTAACAACTAATCATACCACTTTTTTCAAAAATTAACCAAACCAAAACAAAAAATCCAAACAAACTAAAAATTTCTATAAACAAACATGCTCTAAGCTCTTAGCATCTCCAACCATAATCTCCATTTTTATTTTCTGAATTTCTACAGTGAAATCCCACAAATTCCACTAGTTCTACAGTACAAAATCAGCAACTTCAACTTATTTTCTCTATAATTTCTCTCTAAAAAAATATTCCTAGCATATTCTTTTCTAATTTTATTAGGTTATTAAATATTCTATACAAATTACATTTTAATATATTTTTTTTCTAGTTTTAGTAGTTTATTAAGTAGTTTATACAAATTACATTTTGATGCGTGACAGTTGAATAAATTTACATTTTTATTTATATATATTAATTATTGATTAATAAGATTAAATACTAAATTAAAAAATTTTAAATTATTAAGCAATGATACTTCATGAAATTAAACAACATTATCGAATTAATGGAAAAAAACCATTGCTAATATTACAATAAAACCATAAAATTACACTTTACAAAAAACGACATGAATTTCATCACAAACATTAATTAAAAAAAAAATAACACAAACATGTAGTATACAATACTATAACAACTAGAAAAATAAATACAACACTAGTAACCGTTGAAAAAAGACGTGATTTCGCGGTGTTGGAGTAACCGTTGAAAAAAGACGTGATTTCGCGGTGCTGGAGTAACCGTTGAAGCACCAAATTGAACATCATTCCTATTTGGTGTACTAAGATCACATCGATCTTCGACAATCATATTGGACAAAATAATAAATGTTTTTATTATATCACTAAGCACCTCTTTCTTCTAGAAACGAACTGGTTGTGAACATTTTTGCATAACTCCAAATGCACACTCAATATATTTTCTATATGCCTCTTGTCTCATTTTAAGGAATTCCTCCATTAGATTTGATGGTGCAACAAAAGATTAACAATAGTACCATTTCGGATATATAATATCTGCTAAATAATAACCCATATTAAACTGTTAACATTGAATGGTATAATTAGCTGGTGGAACGATACCTTCAACAAGATTTAACATTAGAGGTGATGCTTCCAACAAATTATTGTCATTATTGGCACTTGACATACCAAAATATGCGTGTCATATCCCTAGATCATAGCCATAACTTCCAAAATGATTGTTGGTTTTCCGGAACATCTAAAATATTGACCAACCTATGCCTTAGGGCAATTCTCTCATTCACAGTGCATGCAGTCCAAGCTACCTAACATACCTGGAAAACCACATTATTCACCAATATGAAGCAGTCTAGCGGTATCATCATTATTTGGGGATCTCAGATATTGTTCTCCGAAACCTTCAATGACTCCCCGACAAAATTTCCCTACGCATTCATTTGTTGTTGACTCGACAATCTTAAGATATTCATCAACACCATTTGCAGGGTTTTATAGGCCAACCGACGAAGTGTTGTCGTCCCTTTTGTATATGTTGACAATTTACACCGACCAAGACTATCCCGACGTTGTTGAAAAAATCTATCACGATTTTTCAACGTTTGAATAACACGCTGAAATTGTGAATAGGCATTGAAAACCGTCATCGAAATGTATATGCATCGTAAGTTGGATTACTACAAAAATAATCTCAGAACAGAGTGCGATAGGTCTCCTCCCGATCACGATGGACTACTCCATGGCTTAGAACAGAACATCCCCAAGTTGATTGACTACTTTGCGCAAAGATAGCGTGTGTTCGTTTATATTTTTAAAGCTCGACCGCAAGTGTACGGCTTCGCTCGTAGTATGTGGCAAGCAATGTCGTATCCCAAAAGACCAAATAATCAATATATCAAGTACTAGATTATGATAATGTCAATTTTATTTATACGATCGAAAATTAGATGGATTAACTAACTGGGAAAATAAATCAAAGAGAAATAAAGCAAAAAATGAAGAACTAACTACAGAACACATAAGACAACTGAGAATGATAGATTCTAAAACTCTGGTTTCAATTAACAGTTGGCTTCCTTCAAAAATATCACAACTAATGTTTTCTTTATCTCCCCTATAAGATGATCACAAATTTAGTTTATCGTCCCTCTCGAAATCGATAAAATTGTAGATTAAATCACATATATTAGCGTCTCCACTTAACACATGCAATTCAACTCCAAATAGATTAAAAGATCTAATATCCTCACAACGACCTACTAATCTCTCGATTCAAGCAAGTAAATTGTGTCAAATATTAAAGACCTAATATTGAACTCATCTCTCGAATTATGAACAATATTGTCAAACATGTAAAAGCATTGATCAAGTGCTAAACATGAAATAAGAACAAAATATTTGAATATGGTACAAAAGAAAGCAATCAATTATAATAATTTATCCAAAATTCCAACATATTAATCTAATACCAAGTCCTAGAATCAAATAATCAAGCCACTCATGTTCAAATTCAAATACATAGACATATTAGAAATCGACATAATAAATAAAAGTTCAAAAGAAAAAAGAAAGAAAAACTAAGAATCTCGTCGATCTCTCAATCTTCTTGATCCATTCGTAGTTGGATCTTCTTTTTGCTTCCAATTGCTTTTCTAGTGTGTTCTAGGGCTCCTCTCCTTGTGTTCCACGTTCTTCCATCTCAAAATAGGGTAAGTATGCCTTTTATAATGTCCAAAAACCTTCTCCTTTTCAAAATAGGTAAGATATAAAAAATAGCTTGCGCGCGCGACACGGCCACTCTGCCCGTGTCACCGTCTGTGTCGCAGCCCGTGTCAGGTCCCTGAGTTTTGAAATCTCTCTGTTGACATGATATGGGCATGGTGCCCGTGTCACTGCCCGAGTCACAAATATGCACTCTCATTTTTGCTCGTTTCACTCGTTTCTTTCATTTTTTTCATCCGTGCATCAATCTTTCATCATCCTGGGGGTCTTAGGTACTCACCATGCGCCTCCAATAGCCAAAAGCTCTACAAATATGTGGAAATATCTATAAAACAAGAACATGTAATACCTCTCCAACAAGATATAGAATTAAAGCACAATAATGCAATTTATACACCAATAATGCAATAAATAAGCTCTAGATATTATATAAATATGGTGTAAAATTACACATGAACAGTGTGTGCCACAGAAAAATTGTTGGTTTGCAAAATATGAGCATTGGATGTTTCCAAAGTATTATATAAAAGAGGTGTGAAGCATTTTCATCTTCCTCGTCATAATCATAATATATGGAGAAAGATAACACATTGTGAATGATATTAAAGAGAGATATTGGAGAAGTATTTGTCAATGAAGGTTATATGTAGCTTGGATGGCATGATGTATAGCTTCATGTTTATATAGGTAAATGAACGAATAAAGGAAATAGATGTTTTTTTCATTGGATTTTTTTCCGAACAAGGCCATGTGAAGTGAATAAATTTGACCAAGAAAATGAAAAGCGTACTATTTTCGGACAAGGCAATGTGAAGAATTATTTCTTTGCATTATTTTTGGACAATGACCAATGGTTCGTCTATCCATTGGATTCTTTCTGGACAAGATCATATGAAATGAATAAATGTGACCAAGACAATGGCAAGTGCACTATATCGGACAAGGCCATGTGAAGTTGTTGGATTTTAGACGTGCGAACCTAGCGCACGCACAGCGGAATTTCAAATTTTTCTTACCAACGACGACGATCCAATTATAGCTATTCGATATGACCTTAGGTCACGTGAATGATGAACGAAATGTTATAGTTGTTCGTAAACTTTTCACTCGACTATGGTATCCACGCAATCTAGTTTTTCCGGTACACGATCTAATGCTAATGAATCTCTTCCGGTGAAGAAACTAAGAATCCTCAATCCAGAAAGTCGGAGAGTGTTTGTCTTTCAATCTTGATCTTCCAATCTCTAAGATTCTGTGGTCTCTCAAAATGTTTCTCACATCGATTAAAGACGGTGAAGAGATAATGAGATATTTATAATTAGGTCAAACTTAATTTTATGGGTCGTAGGAGATAGTATGGCTCAATAGGTAATTGGACCTAAACCAATAATAATTTAATTAAGTGTAAATTCAATTTAACTTGATTAAACAGTTTTTATTAAATAAAAAATAATCTCATTACTCATAAATAAGTATTCCAATCTAATTGAATATTTAACACTCGTGATTCACTCTTAATCGGAAAACTGATTGCATATTGTGTGACCCTATAGGCCTTCATATGTTGACATAAATCTAATTTAT